CCTCCTTGATAGACACAACAGTGGTATTATAACCGATGGTTTGTCTTGGTGACCAGCTCAAACGAGTATAATGGTCCCTATACCAAAAGTCTTCTCGTGGTTGTGGTTGGTTTAAGGTTTTGGGTAGAGAGTGATGTAAATCCCTTATGTGGTTGGACTCCAATATTATTGATGTCACCACTGAATAACCAACGTTAAAAATGACCGGTGGCATTTTTGTAAATAAATGCAATTATTAGACGTCATTTAGAATTGTAATTTGACGTCAATTTATTATATTGTGTAAATTTTGCAAAAATGCTTGGCGCAAATGTGAAAATGTATTTTCGTATGACGTCGAATTCCCTAAAATTAGACATCAAAAGTATATAAAACGTCGAATGCCCCAACGTTAAATGTTAAAAGGTTAGTGAATTCAATAAAAATTTGAGCAAGAGATTGAAAATTCATTCACTTTATCTTAGCGCGCGATACCCTCTTCTCTACTCAAACTTTTCTGGAACGAAGTTTGACAATCATCACATGTAATCTTTCTTTCCTTTGTTACAAATGCATGTTAATTAACTACTTTAGGTATGATTTTTGTTTGTTTTGACCGATTATTTTCGTGTTTTTGTCGTTCATAGGCACATTCTGCTTTCTTTCTCATTGGTGACAACACTTTTCTGACGAACCCACCTTTTGAAGGTCAGTTTTCATTTTCGTTTTGAAGAACTTATTTGTTGAACATGTTTGTTGTTGTTTTTTTGTTGAACTTGTTTGTTGTTGTTGTTGTTTGATTGAACATGTTTGTTGTTGTTTGATTGAAGTTGTTTGTTGTTTGTTATTGTTGCTTGTTGTTGATACTACACTTGACGTTCATAGTTCGTTCATGCTGTATAAAATACCAAAAGCTAAAATTTGTTGTTTTTTTTGCTTTTCAAGTCTAGTAAAGTTGTAAAAAAGGATCACAATTAATTAAAAAAACAAAAAATAATTGATTAACGTCGAATATTGACAAAAATTCGATGTTAATTTGTTTGATCTCGAATTCGACGTGAAAGACCAAAAAATACTGACATTATATGGTGTTTTTGTATTAATACATCTAGTTAACTTCTTTTGTCTTGTCAACATGCCTTAGTAGTTTTAACTCGTCTAGTGACCTTCTTTGGTTATTCTTGTCTATTCTTTTTTCCCGACTTGTTTCGTTTGAATTTTATATTTCATTTGTTCTACGAATTTTTCTTGTGATAAAGCTTGCTTGAAACTCATGAACAAACAATAGATTATTAAATATATAGTCAAATAAAATCATAACTTACGTTAGTTAGGCCATTAGACAACATCTAAAATGAGTTTTGTAATTGATACTTACATAGTTTAGTGATGACGAGGTCTAGTTAGTCCTTTTATGCGTGTATTCTACTTATTTATTTGGTTAAACTTACACTTTAACGAGAATGGTTTTTGCTTATATCATTATGGATTTTGTTATCATCAAAATTGCTTTATCATATTAGTGTCTAATAGGGTTTATAGCATTTGGTTCTAACAAAATGTACTTTGTGCGAATAAAAAAAACAACACATTTATTACACACAAACTCAATTAACTATGAAATTATAAGAGAATCAAACCAAGAAGGTTTGTAGAAGGTCACTCGAGAGTGATGAGGTGAGATGGATGGTGATGGATGAAGTAATTGATCCATGATGGAAGTTGCAGTGGTGCTTGCCTATAATAGCAGTTCTAAATGATTAATTTTGTTGCTTAGAAACCCAAAGCTTAAGCTTTGCTTAGTTGATCCACATTAACCACTTCAGTAGCAAACTGCATAACAAAGTTAGCTTCATGTTGACATATTTCAATAATATTTGGTGTAAATATTTAAGGGATTAAAGATTTGTTTTAAGTTCATAGAATAAAGCATTATCTCATTTCAAAAAGTCCTTTGAATCTGCACTGAATAATAACCAAATCAACAACTTCCATGTGCAAAAAATCCAACTTATCAAATGATCCAATGTGTTACAAACACGTTAAAAGATATGTGTAAACAAGGTTCTCAAAATGATACATATAAACTGAAAGCATCAGACAAGTCTTAATAGACAAGTTCATCAGACGATTCCATCATATGACATTATTAAACAAGTCACTTAGACGAGTTCATCAATTGGTTAGACGATTCTAGGGAGTAGATAAGTCTAGCTAAGCACACCAGAAGAATCCAACAAGGTACTTACCAGATGACTTCAACAATACATTGATTAGATGATATGTTGAATAGACAACTTCAATAACACACTGCCTAAACGACTTTCTTCTCTGGCTTCAAGAATACTATATTTTCTTTATCAAGCTTATAACCTTAACCATTAGAAAATATCAATTTAGTAAAGCTTGCATTGTCTATAAGACATTAGACAATTCAATGTTATATCATATATAAGCACTCTATGAGCTTGATTTCACTTCACCTCAATAAATCACATGTTAGAACGCTCAAGAAACATTTATGCACTAAATAATATTATCAAAACTCAGCTTTTAAATGTTTTTATCAAATCATCTATGGAATTTCAAAAGACTAAGTTATCTAATTAAACTCTTCTAGCTAAAGCGTATAGTGATTTTTGTCTACCTAGAATGCATATCTAATAATGTCTAAAAAGTTAAATTTAGTATATGATTTAACTTAAAGCTCATTTTATCTCAATTGGTCAAATACCAGATAAAACAATAAATTTAAACTCAATTATATCTAAAGATAAGTAATCGTAAGTATTCTAAAATATACAAAACATGCACTCATTAACAAGACTATTTCAAGCTGCACCATCTGTAAGACAAATTTTGTTCTGTTAAATATGTCAATCAACAAATATTATCTTTAAAAATTTATTTTCATTTTCTGAAATCATTATGTCAATAGCAACTGAGTATAGTAGAATCTGGTAAGGTCAATTTAGACGGGAGATTTTGAAAATAAGAAGGTTAAATTTGAATGTAATTATATGTATAAATTTAATTTTTTTCTAAAGGAATTTATAATTTTCTTGGATGCGAAAGAAACCAATTTGGAAACAGATAGAACCTAATTACAATATTAATAATAGAGCGTCTATAAATTAATTTCTATACAAATTAGTTCTAATTTATAGAAAAGTAAATTTCATATTTGTATTTTAGTTTGTCGTAGAAGTCTTTTCAGAAAAAAACATTTCGAAATATACTGTTAACCCATTTCATTTGTTTAGAAAAACATTTAGTTTTTCTCTTACAAAATGTATAGTCACGAATTATACATAAGAAAGCAACCCAGAAGACTCTGCATTCCGGTAATATTTCCCATATGCTAAAAGTTGCTGAGGAAAAATAATTCTCTCAAAGCTATAGAAGATAAAGCTTACATCCTAGATAAGGTCATGGAGAGTTCCACCACCGAAGCATTGTAGGTCGAATAGCATCAATTTTATGGGAATGAATACATTTTGGGGAAGGGATACATTAAAATTACGTCCAAATAATATGGTGTAACAAAGTAAGTCGTATAATTTAGTTTGGTTATGAGCAGCGAATATGTAATTTAGTTCTTAAATTGACCCATATATGAATGAAATGTTACTGATTTGATCACTATCTTATTCATAACTTGTATCCATTCATGTAGCACATTTTTAATTTGATCTCTAGGTAAAGACCAAATTAAAGATTGAGTTATTAATGTAAAAGGAGATAACGGTTGCAGAGATAACACGTTACAGAGAAACCAGTTTAATAAATTTCGTATGTAAATATTAAATTGAAATTATGTTTAACGGTAGAACAATTTCTAAGATCAATGATTAAACTGCAGTAACGACAATTAACTTAATATATTTTAAATAAGTCCTTCCAGCAAAACTGCTCTCATCTTATGGTGCCATTGTACAAAAAAGTCAGAAGTGCGATTGTATCTTACAAGTGTCTATTTACAAAGCAGCACCCTGAGAATAAAACTAAGGCATTTGCTAAATGCATCACCATATTCCTAAAAGTTGAATGCAGAGAGCAAGCAGAACATTTCTTACAAATCGTACGTATATTTAGAGATTTCTTTCATGTGGTTCAAGCCAAGGAAAGTCCAGGAAATGAAATACCTCCTTTTCAGTATTAAATTTCAAACTTGCACTACCTTTTGCACCCTGAAGTGGTACAAAAGTATATATGAGAATTCAAGCAAATCATGACGCAAATGTAAACGATTCTTTTATGTCATACCCGTTTGCTGCCAGAACCATGTGCGGCTGGAAACAACCCAGTATCGTCAAGCCGGAATCCTTTAGATTCTGCTAGCAACCTCAACCTGCCCTCAAACACCCACAATAAGAAAAACCATCATAAACTTGTTAACTACGCATGACCAAGAAATGACGACCCAAGATAAACAAGACACCGAACAAGGCCCATCAAATAGATAATAAGCTAAGGTTATGAAAACATCGTGCGCAAGAAAACAATAAAAAGCTAGATAGCAATAAAATAATAGGTCATGTTTCAGTGAGTTATTTTGCTTTAACTACGAATTTTTATTAGCACAACTCACGTTTTTTTCTTATTATAAAATGCTTAAGAGAAGAAAATATCTTTAAGAAAATAAATAAATAAAGTCATCCGCCACCACCAGATCCATCCAACCACCACCAGATCCATCCAACCGTCGTCACTTCCATATGCCGATCTGCCGCCATTGCCATAGTCGGAGTTTTAGTTTCAACAAATGATCACACAAATTTGTTCATCTTGACCAAGCGATCACCATGCCACAGTCCAAACACATTCTCACGCACCAGTCAAAGATTTGTCCAATAGATTTTTCAATGTAGTTGGTCCTCAACGTTAAAGCTCAATGGTTGATTATTTGAGTAAGTCTCATATTTCTTTTCATGAATTTAATGAGGTACTACCTCCTACCTCTACTCCTATCTAAGAAATAGAGTAACACTCAAAGTTCTTCATGGTGCTAGAATTACATGGACTTGATGAATATTCCCATGTTTGTTATGAGATTTTGGATTCCACTGGTACCCAATTTTACTCCAACTTGTTCCACCCTTTTGCATGTGCCAAGTAAACCCATCAATGACACACCTCCTTCTACCGAAAATTCATCTATTTGGCATTCTCAATGTGATGATATAAATCGCTTAAAACCCATGAAAAGGGCGTCACAAGTGTGACCTCACAAGCTAGGCCACATGATTTCTAGGTGTTATGCATTACACAATTGTCCTCCTCGATCTATTGTTCTTGTTCAGACGGATCCTCCCTCACAATCATCACTTAATTGGGGGACTAGATTGGAAGAGGGAACATCGAGGCAAGTTCAACTTCGAAGAGAACGATTGAACTAATGGCTGGACATATTGGCACAGGTGATTGCCAGTGATGAAGGAAGAAAGAAGCACACTTGGTTCAAGACATTCATGAGTGTGTGTGGCTGCTCCATTCTAGAAATAGAAAGTTTAGTGCATAGAGAATGAACTGTACCTCCTATTGAGCACATCGTTTCCTGTCCATGCTATTAGTCCAAATGCATATATGTGTCTTGGGTACACCTACAAACACATTAAAACCAATCATTTTAAAGGTGGCTATGCAACAATGTACAACCGTAAAGATGGAATTTTACTTCTAAATTTTTATTGCAATATCCTATGGTTGGTTATGTGATAACTTGGTAAATAATTAATAGTCACAACCAAAGTTATCATACTATAGTCTCATGTAAACTTGACCAGTAAACGCAATTTATAAACTCGTAAGAGTCTACTATATATGAAAAAAAATGTATATAGTACCATACCAATTCAAAATTTCATCACCACATTTAGTGAAAATAGTAAACAATAGTTCAATAATTCTAAAATAACTGAGTTCAACACACATGACTATTATATAAGTTCAAATTACACCAAATACATAAGATCATACAATCACAAAACATAAACATCTTCAACTTTCTATAAAAAAACAAGACTAAAATAGAAACCTTGGTCACAAGACTATCAAATAGAAAAAACTCAACAATAAAACTAAAATACACCATGCTAAATTTCAAAGGAAATATAAAAGGAAAACCCAATATTTTGAAGTTACGATTGTCACCTTCAAATCAATACGACGACGCAACTCCTGCCTAGGATAGGTACAAAATCCAAAGTAAGTGTCCACACCAGAATCAGAACCCTGTCTAAAGAAATAAAATTAACAAAGAAATACCAATGAATTAAGAAATATTGCAAAAACATCTACCAGGAGATTAGTACAGCAAAATATTGAGTGGAGATTGATTCATCAAAAGGTACATCTAGATATATTGTGTTCAAATTATAGAATGATAAAGATATATGAAGTAGCCCAAATCAATGGGATCATAAAAAACATCACAAAAAAAAAAATAAAAAAAAAGAGAACTGCTATAAAGTTTGAGAGCAAAAACAAAGTGTTAGAACACAGGAAATCCCAACACAGTCTCACCTTCTCAATTACAAAACCATGGTGACTCAACGGAAATAGTATTTCTTTACACACAATAGTTGTTTCAGTATGAATGATATAGACTTGGTACAATGCATAATGAGCATCAATTTTTACCCAACTTTTGAGAAAGCCCTTTCCAGGCAATGTGCGGGTGGGGTGTTGCGCACAGGTGGTGGCGTGCGGGTGTAATGAGTGTATCACATAGGCTTTGACTTTTATGCATAATATTTGTTTGATGTCCAAGTATCATAATTACTCCATCTAATTGTTGTCACGGGTGGGGAGAGTTTCACATTGAGCATAATTGATACTAATGGATGGGATCACAAGTAAGTAGCAAACAAATAGTCCATAATATAAGAGAGAGAAAAAATACAATGAAAAACAATCCCCTCAGTTAGTGTTAACAACCCTACTCATTTTTCAAACATGCACTAAGAGACTGTTTCAGGTCATATGTGTGCGCCTGTGAACGGTGTGTGAGGGTGCATTGATGCGCTAATCAATGCAATTGTTGCGGTGTGGTGGTCGCTTGAGAAACACGATTCGGTTGGTGGGGACACCTACTTGAATGGTGGCTTTGGTTGTTACGTATCCGAGTATGGAACGTAACTAGAACAATCTCTCACACACTCTCATAGACAAAGAACAATAGAAGATGAATGAATAAACCTCTTTTATATAAGAATAACTGAATCAAATAGAAAACAAACAATAATTGGGAGCATAAGCTCCGTCAATTATTTCTAATAATTGAGGGCATAACCTCATCAACAACTATCTGGACCATAACCATAACCTAACCAACCAACCGCCTTTTACAAAACTCACTAATTAAAAGCATAACCCTTAACCGAGACGCGAAGCGTTTAATTTATACTAATTATTTCCCGCTCCATCTCTTACTAAATATTTCCCTAGAATATATCTGCATTTAATATAAATATCTCTATATTTAATATAAATATCCCCCCGTATATTATCCTAGCATATATCCTTAATTATAAATATCTTATATTGAATATTTCCCTAGATAATATATTATTTACTCTTTACCTAATTATCTCTCTCACAAAAA